TGATGCTCTTAATTCAGGAAGACAAATTCCAGACCAGATGCAGCATCTATGGAAAGAAACGGAGAGAAAACAAAAAGTTAACAGTTGAAACAACAGCAAATAATGCAAATTGGAGAGTAGCAGCAGAAGAAAGTGGGAAAAAGTGGTCATTGTGCCCCAGTAGCATTCTGAGCTTCTGGCAGCATAACGATAGAGGCAGTTCAGGATAGCCTGAGCTACTGTAACTGTAAACCTGACCAAAAAGGAAAGTTTCAAGCCTGCTGTTAAAAGTAGAGCTCACTGGCCAAGTTGGCTAATATTAGTTAATAAAGTATATTTTATGTTTTACATAAAAAGCCTGACATGAAATGTTTGTTGTGTAGGTTTGTCTATTTGGCTGGCTTATTGGGGCACAAACGGTGCCCAACGGTGACGTTTCACTTGGCCGTTGCTTCGGTGTCTTTCGCTTTGTTCAGCATCTGACCAGATCTAGCGCTTGAAACATGAGCTGCACTGATCAGGGTTTTCCTGGCAAATACCAATTTCCTGTTTTCTTTAAGGCCTCGCACGCTGACACCAACTTTGACCAACTGCGCTTTTCTTCTTGAGGAAGAAACACAAACCGAGGTGTTTTAACTCAGTTTGTGAGTTTGTCATATATTCATCCCGCCATTTTCCAACACGCTTATTAATCGGAACAAGAAACAATCACAGGAAAGCTTGCCAGGTGATTGGTGCATTCCCACTATAAGCTTCCATGTTTAAATGGAACATGCAGCGTGTTCATTTTCAAATATTTATTGAAATCCAGAATATTTGATGTACAAAATTTACTCAAGGATTTTACCTGGCATTTAAAAACAGCTACAGTTGTAATGCCCTTTTTTTCTTTTTTTTTACAGCTTTAGAAGAATAATCACATTTATTGTATTTCTTATTCCATATATTTAACACAATGTGACAAAGCATGACCTCTTACTGCAGCTATAATGCACTGATGCCCTCAGAGGGAAAAGGCAGGTCGTGCCGCATTTTGTACCTCCAATATTGTGTGGATGCACCCCAGACGGGTACATACCTGCTGAAAATTTAATGCTCCTCAGAGACACTGCAGCTCCCTGATAGCTTGGCCCCATTCAGTCCTCCGCTCCGCCCCTCCCACCGCTGCTGTTTACCGTCATCTCCACGGCGACACACAGAAGCACCAAATGGCGATAAGATAATGAGAGAAACAAAGCCATTTGTATGGAGGAGCCGCTTTCTCCTCTCCAGCTCTGAATGCACAGTGGAGATGAAGTTTAATGTTCAGGCTTCAATGTGATGTGCAAGCGCGCATCCCTGAGTTTTAACA